AGTATTGTATAGTAAAATGTATAAGATTTTAGCTGATTTTTCTTAATACTGCCAAAAGCTAATATTTCTTATGACATATAGATGATCTCACAGGGTTTTCATTTATATTTTCCTTAAAATAATGTAAATAATTCAACAAGCAACTGTGTCAAGTTAAGCATCTCAATATGCATCCCAAGTTACTATCCATTTAGAGACTGAGCAGAAAGCTTATGCTCGACTAATTTCACCATAAAATGTATTGGAACGGAAAAATAAGCATATAAGCAATGGAAAATATATCTTACCTTGATGGATTGTATAAGTGCAGGAGTAGCATCAGTTAACTTGTAAGTTATAGGATGCCATCCTCGTCTTTCGTGTTCTCTGGAAGAGGAAAGATCCCAAGCTGTATGAGTCAACGTCCTCCTTGTAACTTCCCTTTCAAGACCCTTTTGCTGAAATGTGAAGGCTAAGAGAATTAGAGGAAAGTGAAACTATTATTAAGGAAACATAGTCTAAAACTTTGAAGTCATTTTTCTCAAGGATTCTAGCTATTCCCCAAGTTTCATCCTGGAAAGGTGAAGAAAGAACTTACTGCAAGCAAGGTTTGAACATAATGTTCATCTGGTATACAGTTATGCTCCTTAGAATTATCAGAAGGCTGCATGTGGCAATTATTGATAGAAAGAGTGAAAACCTCTTACTCAGAAGTCAATCTTAACAACTTGTGAGTTGCATTTGATCGGGCAAATACGATGATCCATATGTATAGCATGTCAACTATTACTTTAGGTGCAAATACAGTAAGCTGATACAAGATGCCCGAAAACAAGGGAAATAAACAATAGAGACACTTACAACATGTCGATCTCGCCAAAATTCAGGTAAAGACTTCCTCTGTCAGGAAAACTGAACTAGTGAGTGAATAAAAAAACTAGAAGGAAATATACAGTAAGCAATATAAACACATTTATTGTACACATCAAGGCAAAGTACGCAACCTATAGATCAAAACCACATTCATTAAAGAAACAAATGTCTTAATGCGTAGCATCTTGTGATCACGAGGAAGTTGGGCTAAACTAAACGACACAAACCTTCATACTAGAATTAAGATTCATAAGCCCCTAACAGTGACATGATAGTTCATGTAACTTGTAAACCAGCACGTAGGAGCTTGCACCAAGGAGGCGTTTTAAGGAACAAGTCTAAAAAAATTTGTGAATTGAGGGTAAAAGTGGTTCAATTAATGTTCCTATTCTTCCTAATGAAATTACATCATAGGGAAGTACCCATCAACAAACGGCTCATTGCAGAAACTGATATCTTGCAACAA